AGGAGGTCTCCAAGAAGGGGAGTGGGACCTCATGGGGCCCCTCCTGCCCAGGGGAAGGCAGGGGCTGGGGGGGGGCAGAGCCAGCCAGCACAGAGGGAGATGCGCGCATGAGAACCACTGTGGGAAATCACCACTTCCTCCCCAGAGCACTTCAAAGGAAAGCAGCCTCCGCGTTCCCCTGCCCCCAAGACGCAGGCTGCGCCCCAGGCCAGAAGGACAGCTCTCCCCCAAATCAGGACCATCCACCCACCCCAGGGGACATCGGAGCCTCTGCCGGTGCCCGTGACCCATGGCATCGCCAGCAACGTCTAGCAGCAGCCCTGCTCGCAGCACCCGGGGCAGGAGCAGAGCTCAGATCAGGACTCCCCGTCTCTCACCAACGAGCTGGTTCTGGCTTCCCGGTTTCCCCCTGCCAGACTGCAAAGAGCGCAGGGCTTGCTGGTTTCCAGAGGCACCGTGCAGTGCTTGGGAGGCACGGCGCACACATCCCCCCCCTGCAGCCATGGGGCCGCAGGCAGACAGCCCCCTCCCCACCTGCCCAGCCAAGAGCATCCCCGAGTCCTGTGGGGCAGGAATCCAGCAGCGAAAGGGTCACAGCCCCCCCAGCCCTGTGTTTCTGCTCCCCCATGAGTCATTTGGGGCTTACCAAGCAGCTGGCTGGGCAGCAGTCCCCTGCACCCAGCCTGCAGCAGCTTGGTGGTTGACACCTTTGGTGCAGCCTGCACTCAGCTCCTTCTCGCTCTGCGACTTCCCCGGGGGCAGAGGAAAGACACCTAGGTGAAAAGGTAGCAGAAAAGCCTTTGGTCCAGGAGACAAAAATAAAGCCTTCCACCTACTTCACACCTGCCCTGGCAGCAGGTGATGGCTCGAGATAGACAGCAGCAGCTTGAGGGGCTGCAAAAACCACGGGGCTGGGGACCAGAGCAGCAGTGCCCCCACCGGAGAAGCTGAGTCAGAGGGGTTGGGGTGAAGCACCCCGAGGTGCCTCCAAGCCAGGGGGGAAAGGAGAGGGTCCCCCACCCCTCCGTGCAGCTGGCAAGGAGCTGGGGACAAAGCAGGTTGAGAACTGCCTTCAGGACCAGCATGGTCACAGCGTGGCAGAGAAAAGAGAAGCCAACAGAGATGCGTGGTAGGCTAGCTTCCAGGGCAGCATCACCCCCGAATCCGGTAACCAGAGCCAGCCCGGGAAGAAGCCTAGAGCGCCTGCCAGCCCCATCTCCCTGCTTTGGAGACGCATGATGCTTAGCCCTGGCTTCCAGCTAGAGCTCTGCCCCCCACCAGCCCAGCCCCTCTTCCTCTGCGGGGGCGGCGCTGGGGTCCCAGACAGGATCCCTGCAGGTTTCCCCTCCCGCACCTGGCCTCCCCAGAGCGGGTGCAGCCCCTCCGACAAAGGGTCCCTCTGTGCATCCCTCTGCTTTGAAGACGATGCAGAGCCGGGACTGGAGCTCTCCCCTCTCCGGGAAGGGACAATCCCCTGGCTCCAGAAAGAGACCCCAGCTGCCCAGCTCGGTGATGGAGTCCTGGGGCTGGGCTGGGAGGGAGAGGACACCAGGGGGTAAGCCATCTCACCCCCCACCCGAGAGGGACCATCAGGCACCCAGTCAGGGTGGGGATAAAATCAGGGTCCTGGTCTTTCGGACAAGTCTTAGTAGATCTGGAGCCCTCCGTGCCTTCAGAGCCAGCACCCCCGAGACCTCGGCTGGCTACGCGGGCTGTGCACGAGCAGGAGGAGTCTGCACTTGCAGCCGAGGCTGCCTGGCTTTGTGCGCGGCCTCCACTTTCGCTCAGGGCCCCATGCGGCATCTGGGTCCTGTGGTTTCTCTCCCCAGGGTTTCTCACTGACAGCAGCACCTCCTCCGCGCAGCAGAGACGGGGTGGGGGTGGGCAAGTAAAGTCAACTGCTTCTTGGCAAGAGGCTGTTGCTGCTGGCTGCGGCATGGGGGCGCATCGGAAACGCCGCAGGCCACCCCTCACTTTTCTCAATTCTCTCTCGGGGGTTTCCAGGAAGGGCCGCAGCAGCTTAACATAAACCGTGGGGTTTATAAGAAAAGGCTCGGGAGCCCGGGGTCAGATCAACCACAGCAGTGACACAAACAACCACAGGCCCAAAGGTGTGTCATGGGAGGGTCGGTCCCAGGCCACAGGTCTGTTGGGCTGGCACGGGGGTAGTGACGGCAGGGGGGTGAGAGCCCCAGCTGATGAGAGCAGTGCATCTGGACGAGGACAAAGAGAATAGGGTCCCGATCCCTGGTGCGGGGCTCCTAACTCAGCAGAGATACTCCTGCGTAGTGGTAAGGACCAGGTGGTGTGTGGTTTTGCTTAAATGGGCAGGCGGGGGCCAGGGGCTGCATCAGAGTTTGTGAGCCAAATTACCAGGTGAGGAGGGAGATCCAGGGACAGAGGCCACAGCCCAGGCCAGGGTCAGGAATCACATGCCAAGCGCGCACATGCAAGGGGTAGTCCACAGGGTGAAGTCCAAGAAAAGCCATGCAGGATCAGGAACCAGGAGACTTGCCAGAGCAGATCAGAGGATCAGGACTCCTGGGTGGCCTGGGCATCTGCTCCCATGGCTGGGGCTAAATGGAGAGGCGGCGCTCCCAGCAGGCAATCAGGAAGCCAGCAGGTTAATTAGCAGGGATGGAGCCGGAGGCTCAAGGCAGGTGTGGCTTCTTGGCAATTCACCCAGGCTAGGCTGATTGGGGTCCCTGACACCTAGTAGAGCTCACAGCGCTCGGACACATTGCGGTCACCCCTTCATAGGCTGGGGAAACTGAGGCATGCGGTGGGGAGAGTCACTCAGCAGGCCATCACCAGAGCAGGGAACAGGACCCGGGTGTAATGCTTTAAGCACTGGACCATGCTGCCCATGCGTAACTCCAACCACACACACGCTCCCTTTCCGGAACAGGGTCCCTCCAAGCTACGGCAAAGAAGCAGCCGTGGTTTCCACTGTGGAAGCATCCCAAGGAGAGACCGAAGGGTTAGAAACGCAGGGTCCTGGGGGGGGCTACAGCAGCGGCTGGAAGGACAGGAGACGCTGATGGAGGAACTGGGGCTGCAGTGTGAACTCATAGGCAAGTGGAGCCCTCCCCTGGTGAGAATTCAGGCTCACAGCCAGCCCCGCCGTCCTCCACCTGTGCTCCTTTGTGACGCTAGAGGCCACTGCTGGTCCACGGGTGCTACAGTGGGTGCCAGGAAGGCAGCGCAGCCTAGGGGCACCGTGGGCCCGGGAGACTCCTTCCCTTTATTCCCTGCAGGGTTGACCTGCTGGGGTGGTGGATTCCCACAGCTGGGTTTGAGAGAGGCTGCGGACTTGTGCGGCCGACGCTAGCATCCGAGCAGCGTGAGCGCCGATGGGGGCAAGCAAACCTCATGCTTGCTGCTGGGGTTGGGGAGGAATTTTCCCAGAGCTGCAACAACCGGACTGGTGCTGAGGATTTGAGGTATGTGTTTGCCTGCTTTCCACTGCTGCTGGGACCCCCGGCCACCCTGAGACACTAGTATAAATCAGAAGACCTCTCCTGAGGCTGAGGGGACTACAATGATTTACCCCGACAGGGAGTTTGGCTCCGAAGCCTTGCACATCCAAAGGGACCAGAGTGCAGTGCCCAGCACGCAGCTGAGCAGTGGGGCTCATGTCTGTCCCCGCGATGCTGAAAGCAGGCCTGAAATCCTTGCTGTGCTGCTTCAAAGCTGACCCACTGCACTAGCGAGCAAGGTCTTCCTAATGCAGAGGTGGGCAAAATGCAGCCCAGGGGCCAGATGCGGCCTGCCAGGCCATTCTATCTGGCCCGCGGGGCCCCCCCAAATTAAGAAAATTAATATTTATCTGCCCCTGGATGCCTGTCATGCGGCCCTCGATGGCTTGCCAAAACTCAGGAAGCAACCCTCCACTTAAAATAATTGCCCACCCCTGTGACCTAATGCCTTGCTGAGGGACCTGGGACCCGGTTCCCAGTTCAGAGCACAGAGTCCACGTGCACAACAGCTAATGCAGTGAGCCGGCTTGTGGTGAGGCCTGGGCAGACACCGGAGGGGACAGCCTGAGGGGTCAAGACCCTCCGTAACAGCAGTGTCAAGCCCAGGACGCAGCCTTGCCCGTCATGTGCACCCCAGATGTCCCACAACTAACCCAATGCCAAGGCTCCGAACCTTTCAGGGGCCCCAGATGCTGTCGGGGAACCCCCCACCCCCAGCGTTCATGTGGCTTGAGGTGTTTTGCAGTAGCTTTTCACACCTCTGTCCACTGGCAGTGTACCAGCTGGGGCCTGGAGAGTGCACATGTCCCGCTGAGGATGAGCCCAGGCTGCAGCCGAGCCCCGCTGGCCCGGGAGCTTGGCCGTGCAGGGGGTCCCGGCCTGTCTTTCAGTTCTGTAGGATGAGCTGCCTTCCATTCCCTGGCTTTGGGCTCCATGCCAGGGCTCAGGACAGCTTTACACCCCACCTTTGTACGGCTTGAACTAGCCCATTTCACAGATGCCCTTTGTGGGGTTAATTCCAGAGAACCCAAATCAGGGACACTTTGGGGCCCCAAGGCCAGGGCAGCCCTGCAGAGTGGGGGACATGGAGGAGGCTGCAGCTCTCAATGGCATTTTGGTGTCTGATCTGAGAGGTCAGCTGTGAGGCACTGGCTGGGGGCCTGGTTTGTGCACAAAGTCCTACGAGGTTAGTTAAATGGGTGCAAAAACCCCCACATGCAGAGTTTGCTTGAAGCTTGGCTCACCCCTGGCTTAGCTTGAGTCAGGCCTGAGCTGCAACTGGCTTCAAACCAAGGCGGGAACGGCCACACTGGGGCTGACACTTGTGTAACTCAGTCGGTTTTAAACCTGACCTTGGGCGGGGGCAGCCTGTGCCTCTGGTCCTTCAGTCCCAACCCTGCCTCCCTCCCTCTCCCCAGCTCTGACATCCCTGCACTTGGAAGTGCTGCTCCCTGCCCTCCCGGGCCCGTGTCCCTACAGGGGTTTGACTCAGCGACAAGAAAGGCGCAGTGCAAACTCAGGCTGGGTGTCTCTTGAGGGTACAGGTACCCCCGAAGCATTTATTTCTAGTGCATTTCCAAGACACAGGTTTCTAGGCTGCAATGGCTGGGCCTGGCACAGACAATACACGTGCCAGCCCACTACAGAACACAGCCTGGCGCCCCGCTGTCTCTCCCCCCCACTGCAAGGAGGTTCATTCTGTCCGGGACTGCGGTCAGGCAGGTGTCCTGAAGTCAGGCAAGCATCCCTGCTGCAAACAGCTCAGGTGGGAAACGAGGCAGGAAGCGGATGGCCAATGAGGCTGAGCGGAGGGAGGCGGTGGCAGGGAGCAGATGTGCTGGCTGGGCAAATGGCAGCGAAGCTTCCAGGAGACGCTGCAAACTGCAGTGGTGGGTGGAGGGGACTGGATGCATCTCGGGACCGGGAGGTCAGGCCCTCGCTCAGCGGGCTCGGAGGAAGTGCACCGCCATCAGCGCAAATGCCAGGAGCAGGGGCGCTGCTGCAGAGCAGGGTGCAGCCAGGTTTTTCTTAGGGGTAGTTGTGGCTTTGATAGTCACACCTCCAGCCTAAAAAAGTAAAGAAAAAGGCTGTTAGGGGAAAGCACCAGCATGGGGAAGGCCAAAGGGGACTTCCTCAGGCCAGCCACCCATCAGTCGAACATGGGGCTGTCCAGGGGTGGGGAAGGGAGGGGGTATGGCTTGAGTTGGGACATGTACTGGTCAAAGGACCTATGGTAATGGAGGCTCCCCTCCCTGCTGTTTCACAACCCCTATCCAACTCGCCCGCCCAGTGCTCGTGTGAAGCGGGCACAGAAGCACCATTCTCCTTCCTTCTTCATCCTCCATGCGACACAGGATGGGTGGACCATTCTCCTGGGAGGAGGCTTGGAGAAGGGGAGCAACTCTGTGGCCCGGAGAGTATTAGACCCGAGGCCTTCTTCCACCCCAGCCATAGGCTCAGGCCCCTAGGCCATGCTGTCTGGCTTGTACAGCTCCCTTGGAGGCCAGGACTGTTCTGGTGCCAACCCTAGCCG